TCGCTGTGCTCGTCCCGCAGAGGTACACCCATAAGTTCCGCAATAATCTACTTATTTGTACAGGGTGTTTTTTTATATATTGACACTCCACCTACTTTCTTCACCTTCACAGGTAGAAAAAAGGTGTAAATACAAAAGTTGTACAGTTTTGGCTGAATTTTTAGAAACCGTGGTCAGAAACAAAATTTGAATGTCAGAAATGTGAAATTTTGCATACTTCCAGCTTTTTTCAAATGGGATGCCCTATATTACATTTTATATTCTTGAAGAGCACAATACCCCGATTCCAAAAATATATAGTTTGTCTATATTTTATTGAACAGTCTCTCATATATTCGGCTCCAAAAATTGTAAAAATACTATCCTACTACATACAATGCTATCGGGTCTTCAAAAAAAAACCAATCAAAGATTGCTATGGTTTTTTGAACGTATGTCTTAGCAATATTTGTCTTTAATTTTGTCAATGAAATTTAATGTCAAAATGTCACATCAAAAATCCTGACGAATAAAAAAACAGTAATGCGACGTATGTTTTCGTAATCAAAGCAATCTTCGATTGGTTTTTTTTTTTTGAAGACCCGATATATAAAGTCTGTTTTTTTTTAAAGATAATTCCCCAAGTCAAAAATTTAGTAACTATGTTGGCAACACAAGCCTTTTCTACATAAAAAATTTGAAGCATTGACAATTTTACATTGTATTGTCAACCTAATGTCAGTTTGACTTTTATCTTTAAAGAAAAAACGCATTTTACTACTGATTTTGTGAACCATTCTACCTGTACATACAGGTGAAAGCTGCAGGTAAAATTTGACTTGGAACTTGGTTTCTGATAGTATTTTAAAAATTTTTAGAACCAAATATAGGGCATCCCATAGGTAGTGCATATTTAATAGGAATATCTCATGTGTTTTAATCTTAATAAATTATTTCTCATAAGTATAATCCGTTCACAATACGATGTCCACAGGTAGGTACAGGTAAAATCACCTTTCAATGCTATTTGATAGGGAAAGATGGTAAATTTACCTGCACCTGTGGACATCGGATTGTAAACAGGATATAGTATTGGTGTTTGATTTTCTAATGCAAGTTTTCATAGTCTAATGTATAGTAATACACACTCTGATGACTTAATGATTTAAAAAAACGTAGTTAAATAATTAATTGAGTATATACCCTAACGGTTTACCCCTTGAACAAGGCAACTTATTTGTCTACTGATTTCTACTGATATTTAGACTGGTAATCTACTGACAATACAAAATATGACCTGGCAACATTGGTCAGTGCGCACTGAGTTTATCCGCATCTTTTTCTAAAAGCATATAACATGGAAGGATAAGGATTCATTTTTTTCGCACTGGCTCGACAAATGGAGATCGCTGTTAATTTCCTCTGTGAGAAAAGACCAAAAAGTGAGGTCTGCGGGTGACGTCATCACAATGAGCTGCTGATAGTGACGTCACTCGCAGGCCCAGAATTTGGTTGTGAGGGGGTTAGGGGAGTATGATACAGATGAAACATCACATAACCCAGCATAATCAGATTATGCTTGATTATTGTGGTTTTTCGTTCAAATGTCAAAATCACAGATTCTGTGTCAATATACTTAATTTCTCCATGTTCAAGACTTTCCTTCTCAATCTTCTAGCCTCTACAACTTTGTGGACTGAGGTAGCACTACCGATAGTTCCCTATCAACTCTTTACATGCTACTCAACTGGCAGGAATGTAGGCTTTAAGGTTTTTTTCCTCAAGAATTTTGTTTGCTATTAATTCATTGGCATTTGTATACTATGAAAATACAATTCCCACTCTATTTTTTCCTTTTCTAGATGTTTTTTGAAGAACTCTTGAAATTAAAATGAGAGAACAAAGTATTAAAAAGGGAAAATCAAGAAATTAAAAGAGAGAATACAGAAATAAAAACCGAATTGCAAGAGAGGTGAGAAAAGCAATAGAAATTATAGAGAAGGAGAGAAGAAAAAATAATGTAGTGATGAATGGATTAAAATTTGATAACAATGAGCCGGCAGTATTGGTAGAAGATGTGAAGGCATTTTTGAACCAACAATTAAAAGTTAATATTACACCTAAATCAGTTACCAGGATAGCAGATAGAACCTGGATAATAGAACTACAAAATGAAGTGGATAAGAGAAAAATCATGGAAAATAAAACAAAACTAAAGGACATGAGAGGAGAAAGAGTTTTTATAAATAATGACATGACCAAGCAGGAAAAGGAAAAACAAAAACAAAAAGAAATAGGAATATTTGCAAATCAGGAAAGGCAAAAAGGAAAAGAAGTAAAGATAGGATTCAATAAGGTAACGGTAAATGCAGAGGAGTGGAGATGGGATAAAGAAATAAATAAATTAAAGAAGACAGGAAAAACCTTATCAAAAAGCTGAATAACCAAACGAACACTACAAGGAATGGGGAAAACAACGCAGCAATGGAATGGACTATGAATAAGGAAGTTGGTAATAACAAGAAAGCTGAAGAAATATGTAAAATGGGTACGTGGAATATTAGAAGTATGTTCGGGAAAAAAAAAGAACTAGAAGGTGAATGTGAAAACACAGACTTGAAACTGCTAGCCATAACAGAAACAAAGAGGAAGGGACAAGAAATGATAAATATGGATAATGGCCACATATATTGTGTACAGTGGAATTAAGAAAGAAGAAAGAGCAGCAGCGGGTGTTGCATGCATAATTCACAAAGGCATAAAAGAGAAAATGAGCAAATGGAAAGGTTGGTCGGAACGATGACTAGTGTTGAAACTTAAAGATAAGAATAATAGCATAAGAACTATTATAGTTGTGTATGGACCCAATGAAGACGATTCAATAGGTAATAAAGATAAATTCTGGGAAGATTTAACCATGGCCACAGAAGATGCAAAAGGAAAAATAATTATACTTGAAGATTTTAACAGCAGAGTGGGAACAAAAGATGGCACATATAATACAGTAATAGGAAAACATGGCGAAAAGGTTAGGAATAATAATGGAAAAAGACTGCTTGATTTTTGTGTGCTACATAACGTTATAGTAACTAATATATTTTTCGAACATAAAGAGATAAATAAATATACACGAGAGATGAAAATCAGAAATGAAAAGTCGATAATAGATTATATATTAGTAGAAAAGACTAATAGAAAGTAAGTATTGGATATCAAGGTTAGAAGAGGGCCGGAAATAGGTAGTGACCACTTTTTACTTGTCACAAAAATTAGAGAGCCAGTAGAGAATACAAAACATGATTATCAAAAGATAGAAAAAAAAAATAGAATATGAATCAGTGAAATCATACAAACTATAAAATAAAGAAATAGGAGAGAGATACAAAAAAGCATTAACCGAAAGATTCTCTAATGATACATGCATAATGTAGAAGACATGTGGAAGTATTTTAAGAAAATAGTTATGGAGTCAACAAGAAAACTAATAAGAAAAAACAAACAGCATGGTGGACAGAAGAAATAAAGAGACAAGTAGAATTAAAAAAAAAGCATAGAAGATTTACATAAATAACAGAACAACTCAAAATTATGAAAGGTACAAAGAGAACAGAAAAACAGTAAAAGATATGGTAGTAGTAGCAAAACGAAACCAATGGGAAGAATTTGATGAAAAAATAGAAAGAGATAACAAATCAAATCAAAAATTATTCTACAAAACTTTGAAGTCGTTACGAAAAGAGAAAGTACAAGAAATAAGTTGGATAAAGAATAAAGACGGAGAGAGGCTAAAAAATGAACACGAAATAATGAATGGATGGAGAGAATGTTTCCAGAAGTTACTAGGAGCCGATGGAATAGTACAAAGTGAATAGATAGAAGAAAATCAAGAAAATAAGGAAAATATAACCATAAACGAATTGCAGGAAGAATGTAAAATCACCTGGAACAGATAAATTAACAGCGGAAATGAATCTAGGAGATACAGGAATGGAAATACTACTACGAATAATTGTAGAAGGTTTGCGCCATTAACAGTTGTATGAATAGGAAGTGTTGTGGGTTTAGGGCAAAAAAATTCAAAGTTTCTTTTAAATTGTAAAAAATGCCGACGTTTCGACTTTATTTCAAGTCTTTTTCAAGGCTTTTTTTAATTATTTTTTTTGAAAAAGGGGCTCTGGTCGAAGTGACTGACGTGTATATGTAATGTTGAGTACCCAAAACAAGTTTTTCATGTTCAGCTCAATTGTTCAAAAAGTTTATATTATGTGCTTGGTGCTTACACTCACTCCGACCAGAGCCCCTTTTTCAAAAAAATAATTAAAAATAGCCTTGAAAAAGACTTTAAATAAAGTCGAAACGTCGGCATTTTTTAAAATTTAAAAGGGTCTTTGAATTTTTTTGCCCTAAACCCACAACACTTCCTATTCCAAGAATTGGAACCAAGTCAACCTTGGATCTTGCTCGGGGATCCCCATCAAATAGAAATAAATGTATCCTAATTTAATCGAGAAAACAGCCTTTATCGTTAATATTAAAACGTAGAAATAGCGGCAGTTTTGTCTGACAATAAGACGTCCAAAAGGCGACATATTCGTCGCAGTCATGTCTGTCTTTAACGTTTCAAACACTTCTTCTGGATATGACATTGCTGAAACGTCATTTATTTTTCATTTGAATGACCAAAAAGAGTGTCCTGAAAACGAATGCTGGTAACTCTGGAGCAAATTGAAATTTTTTCCAATGAATACCAGACCTACAAATGTTGTGCTAAAACCGTCGATCAAAACCTAATTAAAAATCTGACGGTGTTCTTGGTCGTCGATGATGAAACGGTTTGATATCGAACGTTCGAAACCCAGAACAATGACTAATTTAAATTAAAATTGGAGCAGGTTGTAGACATCTTATAGTAGTGCCGAAAAAAACAATAACCTAATGTTAGCTTGTTAAAATTACAGTACGATGAAAAACGTTCCAGCAACGCACAAGAAAAATCCCGCACTGCATATCTCGCCAGGCAATTATATATTTACAGCAATTACGTGGCTATGCCAACTGGCCACAATGCCAGCAGCAGCAGTTTTCTTACTAAATTCTTGCTTTTTAGCGGTACCGCTGACCGCGACAGGGCCCGAACCCATTATAAGGGAATTCTTCGAGTTTTTGGTACGCAGAAACTTCAAAGAACCACCGAACCCTGCACCAGATTTATTACTGTCCAGTACATTTTTTCCTTGAGACTGTTTTACAGCATTAAAATGTACTTTTGAGTGCCGTATCTAATGCGTGTTTACATAATAATTTATAAAAGCTCACTTTTTAGACGAGCATAATATATTTACCCAAAATAAACAAACCCGAAAATTTTTATAATAAAGCAAACATTGTGATGTGTTCTCAATTCCAACGGTTTCTACAGAGATAAGATGTTTGTTTGTGGCTTTGCCGTTGATATTTTCATCATCTTGAGTGTTAATTTTAATCATTCGTTTCGTGTCATTGTCGTAATTCGGAAATTTCACGTAATAAATATCTTCTTGTCTTCAGAGGTATTTCTATTGTCTTCGAAGCAGCGAAAATGCGCCTCTTTGTCCTCTCTTAGTCTGCAAGAATTCACCCTGTAAAAGTTTAATCTGCACACCAAATCTTACAAGAAGTAGCAAATCATATTGCTAAAAAATTATCGTGCTGACAATCTTGGACCGAAAAACTTTTAGTTGATGGTAACGGTCTTTCGACAACGAATTTTTATATTATATCTCGGACCGAATTAGCATTTACGAAATGGCCGAAATCGGGTTCCTCTCAGCATGAGCATTAAATAAATAAGAATTCTTTTCGGATACTTAGTTTGGTAATTACATTATGAGTAGCTCGGAAATAGCGTTAGTTGAATGACAAGGTTGGTTGGTCAGACGTTTTCACAACTAGTAGTGATCTAGCAACGTTTAAATGTTGAGGATTAGTCGGGGAAATAGACGTCGTGCCGACGTTGGCTAATTACTCGTATATGTTGCTAAGTTGCTTGAAATACTCAAAATTCAAATCATAAGCAATCAGTGATGCCAGGTCTGGTGAAATTTCCTTCATAATGTTTTAAAATCCCTCGTAATATTTTAAAATTAAACTTGAGTAACATACAAATTTCATTTGTTTGACAGAAAACCAAATACCCATAAGTGGTGTGTGAGGTCCTTTGACTTTTATATTAATTTGTATTTGTTCTTTTGATATATTTATATATGTTTCCCTTTTTATATTTCAATTTCTGTTTATTCCAGGCTCTTGTTGCTATTGGCCGGTTATTTGTTTTAAGTTGGCAACATGTATTTTGTTTGGCCAGTGGCGTTGCTTAAGGGGGGTTTCAGTCAAACCAATCGAAAACTCGAAATTTTTATTTTTCATATTTTCGAAATTTTGACATTTCCAATTGATTCAACGGGTTCAAATTACTTGAAAAAAAATCTAACATCACTTTCAAAATGGCGATTTCAAAAAGCTAAAAAATCTCAATTTTTTTTTCAAATCTGGACAAGGTTAGGAATAATTGCTAATATCTTCAAAGAAATTTGAACAAATCAAAACAAATTATATATGGTTGGAAAGACCATGAAATTCTCTATAAATCCATGCTAAATTGGTTCTGATTAGTCGAATACTTTTTGGTAAATTGGATCTCAAAGTTAATTTTTAGTCCAAATTTTATCCAAAATTTCAAACTCGATTTTCTCGAAAACCATAGAAGCTAGCGATTTTAACTAAACACCATTTTTAAGCCCTTGTCAAGAGTTACATTTTCTGAAAATTTTAATTCAAAATCTTTAATAGATTTTAAGATATCCAAGATCAAATATTTTGAAATAAAAATCTCAATTTTCAGATCTAATTTTTTTTTTAAATCCTGACAAGGTTAGGAGCAATTGCCAATATTTCCATTAAATTTTGAGCAAATAAAAATAAATTATATATGGTTGGAAAGAGCATCAAATTCTCTATAAAACAGTGCTACATTGAGTTTGATAACTCAAATACTTTTAGAGCAATTGAGCCTCAAAGTTGGATTTTAGTTGAAATTTACTCAAAAACTTCAAACTCGATTTTCTTAAAAACCGTAAATGCTAGCAACTTCAACTAAGTACCATTTTAAAGGCCTCCTCAAGGGCTACAGTCTCAAAAAAAATTGATGCAAAATCTTTGAAAGATTTCGAGAATATTGAGTTTGAAAATTTTGAAATTAAAACCCAAAGGGGTTAAAACCCTTTGAAAAAATCGAAATTTTTATTTTTCAGATTTTTTGAATTTTGACTTTTCCAATCGATAGAGCGGATCTAAATTAGTCGAAAAAAACTCTAACATTGTTCCCAAATCTCGATTTAAAAAGGGAAAAAAAATCAAAAAGAAAATCTCAATTTTCAGATCTAAATTTTTTTTTTAAATCCTGACAAGGTTAGGAGCAATTGCCAATACTTCCATTAAATTTTGAGCAAATCAAAATAAATTATATATGGTTGGAAAAAGCATCAAATTCTCTATAAAACAGTGCTACATTGAGTTTGATAACTCAAATACTTTTAGAGCAATTGAGCCTCAAAGTTGGATTTTAGTTGAAATTTACTCAAAAACTTCAAACTCGATTTTCTTAAAAACCGTAAATGCTAGCAACTTCAACTAAGTACCATTTTAAAGCCCTCATCAAGGGCTACAATCTCAAAAAAAATTGATCCAAAATTTTCAACGGGTTTCGAGAAAATTGAGTTTGAAAATTTTGAAATTAAAATTCAAAGGAGTTTTTAACCCTTTGAAAAAATCAAAATTTTTATTTTTCAGATTTTTTGAATTTTGACTTTTCCAATCGATAGAGCGGATCTAAATTAGTCGAAAAAAACTCTAACATCATTCCCAAATCTCGATTTAAAAAGGGAAAAAAAATCAAAAAGAAAATCTCAATTTTCAGATCTAAATTTTTTTTTTAAATCCTGACAAGGTTAGGAGCAATTGCCAATACTTCCATTAAATTTTGAGCAAATCAAAATAAATTATATATGGTTGGAAAAAGCATCAAATTCTCTATAAAACAGTGCTACATTGAGTTTGATAACTCAAATACTTTTAGAGCAATTGAGCCTCAAAGTTGGATTTTAGTTGAAATTTACTCAAAAACTTCAAACTCGATTTTCTTAAAAACCGTAAATGCTAGCAACTTCAACTAAGTACCATTTTAAAGCCCTCATCAAGGGCTACAATCTCAAAAAAAATTGATCCAAAATTTTCAACGGGTTTCGAGAAAATTGAGTTTGAAAATTTTGAAATTAAAATTCAAAGGAGTTTTTAACCCTTTGAAAAAATCAAAATTTTTATTTTTCAGATTTTTTGAATTTTGACTTTTTCAATCGATAAAGCAGATCTAAATTAGTCGAAAAAAACTCTAACATCATTCCCAAATCTCGATTTAAAAAAGGAAAAAAAATCAAAAAGAAAATCTCAATTTTCAGATCTAAATTTTTTTTTAAATCCTGACAAGGTAAGGAGCAATTGCCAATACTTCCATTAAATTTTGAGCAAATCAAAATAAATTATATATGGTTGGAAAGAGCATCAAATTCTCTATAAATCAGTGCTACATTGAGTTTGATAACTCAAATACTTTTAGAGCAATTGAGCCTCAAAGTTGGATTTTAGTTGAAATTTACTCAAAAACTTCAAACTCGATTTTCTTAAAAACCGTAAATACTAGCAACTTCAACTAAGTACCATTTTAGAGCCCTCATCAAGAGCTACAATCTCAAAAAAAATAGATCCAAAATCTTCGACGGGTTTCGAGAAAATTGAGTTTGAAAATTTTTAAATTAAAATCCAAATGGGTTTAACCCTTTGAAAAAATCGAAATTTTTATTTTTCAGATTTTTTGAATTTTGACTTTTCCAATCGATAGAGCGGATCTAAATTAGTCGAAAAAAACTCTAACATCATTCCCAAATCTCGATTTAAAAAGGAAAAAAAAATCAAAAAGAAAATCTCAATTTTCAGAAAATTTTTTTTAAAATCCTGACAAGGTTAGGAGCAATTGCCAATACTTCCATTAAATTTTGAGCAAATCAAAATAAATTATATATGGTTGGAAAGAGCATCAAATTTTCTATAAATCAGTGCTATATTGAGTTTGATAACTCAAATGCTTTTAGAGCAATTGAGCCTCAAAGTTGGATTTTAGTTGAAATTTAGTCAAAAACTTCAAACTCGATTTTCTTAAAAACCGTAAATGCTAGCAACTTCAACTAAGTACCATTTTAAAGCCCTCATCAAGGGCTACAGTCTCAAAAAAAAATGATGCAAAATCTTTGACGGATTTCGAGAATATTGAGTTTGAAAATTTTGAAATTAAAACCCAAAGGGGTTTAACCCTTTGAAAAAATCAAAATTTTTATTTTTCAGATTTTTTGAATTTTGACTTTTTCAATCGATAGAGCAGATCTAAATTAGTCGAAAAAAACTCTAACATCATTCCCAAATCTCGATTTAAAAAGGGAAAAAAAATCAAAAAGAAAATCTCAATTTTCAGATCTAAATTTTTTTTTAAATCCTGACAAGGTTAGGAGCAATTGCCAATACTTCCATTAAATTTTGAGCAAATCAAAATAAATTATATATGGCTGGAAAGAGCATCAAATTCTCTATAAAACAGTGCTACATTGAGTTTGATAACTCAAATACTTTTAGAGCAATTGAGCCTCAAAGTTGGATTTTAGTTGAAATTTACTCAAAAACTTCAAACTCGATTTTCTTAAAAACCGTAAATGCTAGCAACTTCAACTAAGTACCAGTTTAAAGCCCTCATCAAGGGCTACAGTCTCAAAAAAAAAATGATGCAAAATCTTTGACGGATTTCGAGAATATTGAGTTTGAAAATTTTGAAATTAAAACCCAAAGGGGTTTAACCCTTTGAAAAAATCAAAATTTTTATTTTTCAGATTTTTTGAATTTTGACTTTTTCAATCGATAGAGCAGATCTAAATTAGTCGAAAAAAACTCTAACATCATTCCCAAATCTCGATTTAAAAAGGGAAAAAAAATCAAAAAGAAAATCTCAATTTTCAGATCTAAATTTTTTTTTAAATCCTGACAAGGTTAGGAGCAATTGCCAATACTTCCATTAAATTTTGAGCAAATCAAAATAAATTATATATGGCTGGAAAGAGCATCAAATTCTCTATAAAACAGTGCTACATTGAGTTTGATAACTCAAATACTTTTAGAGCAATTGAGCCTCAAAGTTGGATTTTAGTTGAAATTTACTCAAAAACTTCAAACTCGATTTTCTTAAAAACCGTAAATGCTAGCAACTTCAACTAAGTACCATTTTAAAGCCCTCATCAAGGGCTACAGTCTCAAAAAAAAAAATGATGCAAAATCTTTGACGGATTTCGAGAATATTGAGTTTGAAAATTTTGAAATTAAAACCCAAAGGGGTTTAACCCTTTGAAAAAAT